CTTCTACATCTTGAAGAGTATCATCCTACACATTAGATCCACTGTTCAACTTCCTAACAATTTTGATCAAATTATCAAGTTTTGATGTTAATAGAGTCACTTTATTTTGAAGCTCAAAAATGTCAGCTAAGTATTCCTCATTCTCAGCCTGGAGTTTAGCTATGATCATTCTCTACTTCACTCACATTTGGTAGACTTCCTCACTTTTGTTGTATCATTCTTTGTGAGAAGCAGACAATTCATCCAAAGATATTTCTTCACTTCTGAAGTCTACATTAGAATCCTATCTTCCTATTAAAGCAGTCACAAGTTTAGCGGACTCTCCCTCGGTTTCACCTTTAGAGGAATCATCATGTGACAAAGAAATGGACAACCCCCTAAGTTGTTTCTTGAGATAAGTAGGACGTTCTGCTTTAATGTGCTCAAATCCTACAAATCCATGACATTTAATCCCTTTACTTTGATTAGACATCTCTTCAATTTTGGGTTTATTTTGAGAATCATAGTTATTGCTGATGTTAGATGAGATGTTTATGACATTTAGTCTTCTCTTCCTGTCCATTCTCTTCAGTATTATATGGAATTGCTTCTCAAGTAATACAATGGTATTTGAAAATCCTTACCCAGTATCCAAATCAGCTTGACCCTCTTTATCTTAAGCATTAGATACAAAAGCTATGCTCTTGTTCTTCTTCTCAAACTTGTCACTTATAACCAGTTCAAATGGTTGAAGTGACCCAACAAGTTCATCAACTCCCATGCTGCTGATGTCTTGAGCTTCTTCAATAGTTGTTACCTTCATGTCAAATCTTTTAGGTAGAGACATGAGAATATTTCTAACAAGCTTTTCTTTTGACATCTTCTCGCCCAATGCACTATATGCATTTTCTATTTCAAGACCATTCATGTGAAAGTTCTGAATGTTTTCATTATCATTCATCTTTAGATTCTCAAATATGGTAGTGAAAAGCTGAAGTTTGGATATTTTCACTTTAGATGTGCCTTCACGAGTTATCCTGAGGATTTCTAAAGCATCTTTAGCTACAGTACAAGTATTTATTAACCTAAAAACATTACTTTCCACTCCATTTAATAGAACATTTAAAGCTTTGGAATTTCCAAGAGCTAATTCATCTTCCTCTTTAGACCGGTCTTCTTCTGGCTTCAAAGACGCATTCTCATCTTTTTCCTTCACAATAGGATGGTTCTAACCTTTCAAAACAACCTTCCAATATCTTTTATCCATGGATTCTATAAAATCTACCATATGAGCCTTCCAATAGTCATAGTTTGCACCATCAAACAAAGGCGGTATGTTATTGTATCCTCCTTCCTTGTCCATAGTACCAAAAAGTATCTTCCATGGAGCTCACTCAAAACCAGAACAAGGTGCCTACTCTAATGCCAATTGAAATTCTAGCACACTAAATAGATGTTAAGACTGATGTCACAACACTAAAACACAATGTCAAGAAATATGTTAAGACATCATCTTACTGATAGAGCAATTTATAAAAACAATAAACCATGCAGAATGTAAATTGTAGAAGATAAATAACATAGTCAAATGTTAATCTAGTTCGGTGCAACTTCACCTACTCTGAGGGCATTCAAGCAAGGAAGGAAATCCACTATAATAATACTAGTTCAAATCTTAAACAACCCAATTAACAACTTATCATCTAATCACTACCCATGCAATTTCTACCTAGGAACCTCCTAGATATAAGAACCCTCTCCCACTTCCCACAATCACCTCAATGATAATAACAATGACCAAAACAAAAGAAAACACTTCCAATTAAACAGATTACACTCTTTGCTTAAAAGCTCATGAGTGAATCACAATGAACAGTGAACAATCAGTCAACCTTAATGCATAAAACAAGATACATGAGTGACATACAAAAAATAAAAACAATAGAAAAACACTCAAACCCTAAAGACTCTTGAATAACAACTTCCTTTTTTTTACACACTTTGCATTAGATTTAGGTTTTTCCTTTTAAAATCCTTAGATAGCATGAGCTTCAGACTCTTCACTCAATTTGTTGTAGACCCATAAACTGATGGCTGTACAAATTATGCAGAAAAGATCTCCTTGAAATATGGAACAAAAACATCACAAGTTTCATAGATTGTCTCGACATCCAATTTTAGAAACTAATGCACAGTTGGAGATAAAATTACTTGTTCCAAAAATAACCCTTCTTGATCTGCGCAAATACGTGAGATAAATCAATTGAGAATCTCACAAAAATCAAATCAGAACCTTCAAGAAGCAACAATAGTGCCTGCTACATAAAGTGATCAAGTTGTCATGACATCTTGCTCAACATCTGGCTGTGATACATGTTTTACCAAAATTGTTGTCAATCAAAAAATCACAGCCCTAACAAACTACATAATGAAAAATAAAAGCGAGTAAAGAGATGAGAGAGAGAGAGAGAGAGAGAGAGAGAGAGAGAGAGAGAGAGAAGTATTTGTTGTTTGTGTAAGCCCTAGAGGCCAATACTTTTGGTACTTGTATCGAATTATTTATTAATAATAAAAGGCATTTCTTTATTATGTTTGCTTTCCAAAATAATAAAGTCCCTAGAATGGTTTATTGGTTTAATGAAATGTTAAGTGTGACTTAATCATGAGATCCCATTAAACATAAGACACTATTCTTAAAGTATCCGTAGTCAAGCTTTAATGTGAAGTGGGATAACATTAAAACATTAAGATTATTATGAAGATAGATTGATGATCACATCTCATGGATCATAGATAAAGAGTTATCAAGTCTTGACATAGGTATGAATATTAGGAGTAATATTTATACTGGATTAACCCGCTATGAGAATACTACATAGAATATTCTGCAAAGTGTCATAAGTTATTCTCATGATGATAATGGTGTATACCACCCTTCGACCTGAAACCACTATGGACCCTAGATGTAGATTCAAGTACTTTATTGTTGATCAAACGTCATCCGTAACTGGATGACTATAAAGACGGTTGATGGGTACTTCACAAAGCATGCTAAGGGACATGAGTGACCTAGATGGAATTTGCTCATCCTGCATAACAGGATAAATGTCTAAGGGCCCAATATTGAACTGGACAAGGGTGACACAGTGTATGCCTTGTGTTCAATATAGACATGAGGGCAAAAGGGTAATTGTACAACACAAATATTATCACGGAAAAGGTTTGGTCAGATCACATGACATTTTCGTGACTTGGGTAACAGTGATGTGTTGCTAGATACCACTCACTGTTTATTATATTAAATGTGTGATTTAATATAATTGTCAACGTCGCAAAAACCTACAGGATCACACACATAAGGACAGGTTGATGAGAGATAGAATAAATAAGGAACACCGTAAGGTACGGTGCACTTAAGTGTAATACGGAAAGTGGTAAGGTACCACGTGGATAAGTGATATATGGTACATCATAAGGTATGATGTCCATAAGCTTAATTGGGCTTTTAGCTTATAGCCTTAATTGGGCTTTTAGCTTGTAGCCCACACGAGTGATTCTATAAATAGATCCCTTGTGATGAAGCAATTTCACTTGATGCAATTTCGTTTTTGATTCTCTCTCTCACTCAAGGTTTCCGTTCGTGATCAGCTAGCACTGTGACCGAAAGCGATCTGTTCATGTGGACTGAGTAGAGGTGTTGTTCTTCATCAACGCTCGTGATCACGACATCAAAGGTCTGAATCGCCACAAGAGGTAAATATTTCTATCACTGACCATGCTCATTCGTAAGGATCGCTAAAGGAAAATTTTGAATTCCGTTGCGTTTTTTATCGCAATTTTCCTTCATTTGTTTAGGCAGTTCACCGTTCGTACTCACTATGTCTATATCCGCCCTCAATTTCAAATGAAATTGAGACATCAATCTTACTTTGCAAAAAGTCGATTACAAGAGAATTGTTCCAAGATGTTACATCTCAAAATTTCCCCTCTTATCTTGCTTTTATCTGGTGTAGGCTTTTCGATTCAAAAAGATCATCAATATTAAAGTTTTACAGCAGTTGAGGTGTACATGTTCGATAAAGTCTGATTTCTCAGATTTCTTCTGCAAGCAGTGAACTGTGTAAATTAGATTTTCTGTGGACTCTGAGGATCTCATCCTCTTCAAGGGTTATTCTCCATCCTATTTCATCAATGTCAAAGGCTATTAGGGTTTATTTTCCTACGTGCGACCAAAGTTAGGGTTTCTCGTCTATTATGCTTCAACTCAGAGTATTGGTTATGATTTCTTCACAGTACTTCAACAGAGAATTTTGTGAGTACTGAACAACAATTTTATCTCTGAATCTCAAGATGTATATTCTTCAAGGTTTTTCTCAAGATATAACCTATAATTTTAGGCATGATTCTCTCAAGCCTCATTTGATCATCAAGAGCTTAAGTACGTCAACCAATTACAAGAGATGTTCATCAGGATGCTTGAATGTGCGAAAAATGTATAAGTTATAAAAAGTCAAAGTTTCTTGGATTACGATCAACTTCACTTATAATCCATGTTTTTAATTTTTTTGGATTATTTAGTCGTTTTGATTTAATCGGCCGACCAACTTTGACATTTTGTCTTTAAAATCGATTCAAGTTTTAATTGATGGCCAAATTCGATTTTAATTGAATTTCTAACAAAAAATTGATTTAAAAATTCAATTTCATCCTTTTAAAAAAAAGACTTTTTATTTAAGCATTTCACTTGATTTAATTATTAATTTTAATTCAATTTTTAAGTTGAGTTATAATTATAATTAAAATCTTTTTAACCTTTTCTTTTTATTTCTATTTGGCATTTTTATTAAATTGTTACTAACATTGGCTTCTTTTCCTTTATTATTATTAGTATTATTTTTGTTTTTTTTATTTGTGTCTAAAAAATAGAAAAAGAAGAAAAGTTTGCATTTGGAAGACCAACTCATGCATGCAATTCACGATTCCAGTACATGACCATTTCAAATTTCAAAACTTCATACAACTCAACCAAATCTTCCTGCGTTTTTTTCTTCAATTTCACAAATTTCCCAAAACAAATTCAATCCAAACTTTATCAAACTCTCAATCTCAACCCTCCATTCCGAATTGTTGTTTTTGATTCGTGTGAAGAGCGGATGAAACAGAGGAAGTATGCGTAAGAGACGGAGGACGGATTGAGCAAAAGGACGGAGGAAGTGTGGTGTGCCGCCGCGGAAGGATTGAGAGGACGGAGGGAGTATTTCCGAAAAAAAGGAGTAATATTGTTGGTTGTTTGTTAGATCGGTGGAGGCAGGGAAGAAAAAATATGGATTCATTTTTTTTTTTATCGGTCGAAAGGCTTTAGCGTGGAAGATGAAGAACAGATACAGAGGAAGTAGATTGTTTTTTTTTAGCGTGAAATAAACTTGAGAGGGCGGCTGCTCAATCCTCTAGGGTTTTTGTTGTTTTGATTCACTTCCATTTTGGGCCTTTGACCCGATCCCCCTTTACCTAAGCCCAGTCCATGTTTCTTTATTTTATTTCAGCAAACAAAATTATTTGGACAGCATGCATAAACAAAATTATTTATATTGTTTAGTTAAATAATTGTTCAGTTTCTTCTTTTTGATTTTTTGATCCCATCTTTGCACTTGGTTGTTTTTTAATCAATTAATTAAATGTTGATTTAGTTAGTTGATTTTGTTATTAAAAATTAATCAATTTTGCTAATTAATTTTTCTTAACCTGATTAATTAAGTCTAATCAACTTTTAATTAATTGATTAAACCTCTACTTCTTGCTTCTTTGTTACCCACTCATCTAAGTAGATATATTTGTTTAGGTATCTTATCTAAGTGCCTAATGCTTGAGTAAGTCTTTACTTCACTCTGTGATGTGTGATTGTCTAATTTCCATCTATTCTCTCACCTTACCTTTATGACATGATATATTGATAATTGCTTAATTGTGTTGTTTGTTTGCTTTCACTATCTTGTCTAAATATTTGATTGCTTGCTTGCTTCTCCTTCTTCTTCTCTCCTTGAGAGATTGCATGCTCCCCCATAGAACCTTTAGTTCATTCTTCTCTAATATTGAATTAAATAGACCTTAGGTTTGTTATCCATGCATGACAACATTAGGTAGATCTCCCACTTATCTCAATTTTAGGTCCACAAGCATGAAAACTTCTAGGAGTGAGATCCCATTTGTTAGTCTTTTCTCTTTGCATCCTTGTTAAAACTAAAACTTCTTTTTCTTTCAAACTTTAAAACACTTAATAAATAAATGATGAGAATCACACTTCCGTTAAGAAATGGAAATGATAAGCATGTTTCTTCTTGATCTTATCATTCTTTCATTCTTAGTCTTTTGTATGGTTCAAATCTCAAAGCCTCTTTTCATTGATAAGTGGAGAAATGACTAATATCTCTCTCTTTAGGTCAATTAGCTATTATTCACAGTAAAAATACTAACCAATACAAACCTTTTTGTCTTCAGACTTTTTTTTAAAAACCTTTTCAAAAAGGACATGTTTAGCTAGCATTGTTCATAAAAAACACACAACAAACCAAAACACCTTTTAAGGTGAACTACGAGTGCATTGATCCCCATTGCACAGTCGGTGGTACGTAGGCACAAAGGTTCGCAACCGCGGCAGACACAACTAATAAAAACTTTCTTTTTGTATATAATTTTCATTCATGCATTCCTTTTTAGCATTAAGCTTTAGACATAGACTAGATACACCATTAGATTAGAACAAACTCAAGTGGATTCTATGGAGTACCACAGACGTGAGAGGTGCTAACACCTCCCCCTTACGTAACCAACTTCCTTACCCTTTTTCTCTTGGTCGCGATGACCATGCTCCTTTCCTTCCCTCAAGTTTACTTAGTGTTTTATTTCCTTCTCTTGGGATAAATAACATTGATGACGACTCTTCTATCTTTCGCCTCCGTTCGCGCTTTGATGAAAATTTCAGACACGACACAAGACCAACCATACAAACCCTAATTATTTGTTATTGATACAACCCGTTCTCTTCTTTTAATATTCAACAAGACCAAGACACAATAACTCTCAATTGATTTATCAAATCTTGCTACTCCTTTGGGTTACCCTAACTTCAAAGCTCTTTCGTGCATGATCAATTGTATATGTTAAACACAAGAACTTCCAATTTGATTCATTGTACTCTCACTACTCCTTTGGGGTTACCCTAACTCCAAAGCTTTCACTTGGCCACAATCCTATTTTGAAAGTCTTGTACACCCCCCCCCCCAAATCTACCAAAGATATTGGGGGATAAACCTTAGGTTTTTCCGGAAGAAACCACCCATAATTCTCAATCCAATATTCTCGGTTACACAAAAATCTAATTAGACGTCATCAAACCTCGCCTAGATGGCACCCCGACAAAAGATGATTATGTGTGAGTTATCAGTGTGTATGCATAGGTTGAAGGTTGAATGTGAAAAGCAATGATGGTAAGTGTTTATAGTTTCATCAAGTTAGAAGGATGCGTAAATGATGTATTTATAGTTGTGGAACTTTGTATGCAAAAGAGGGAAGTTTCGAAATGAAAAAATAATGAAAAATTGACCCATAATACAGTATATGCTGACCCGAAAGTCGTATAGGCCGACACATGCAAAATAGTAGCTACAAGATTTAATAATGTAGTACATGTGTCAGCGCATAGATCATATAGGCTGGCGCATAAGATTGTTTTTTAAAGCACAAATATTGTATGTGTTGCATGCTTTAATATTGAAGCACGTGTGTCGGTGCATAGATCGTATAGGCCGACGCATAAACCTTATTTTTGTCCAGAAACTGATTTTTCATGATTGTGACCAATTTCAAAGTAGTTTTGAGTGATTCCTAAGACCTCTAATGCAAGGGTGCACCATGTGACATAGAGATACAGTCCAATATACATAAATGCTTAATTTTTCAAGTTTTGACATCATGCAAAACATCTAGTGACAAAGTTGCACTTACATACTTCCCCTTTTTAATGAGGGAAAAACTTGCGATGAGGCATTTCATGTTGTTGTCGAATGAATCCCTTGATTTTATGCTTCCAAACTTCATCTCACATGTGTTTCTCCCCCTTTGACAACATAAAAAAAGAGGATAGCAAACAGTGAAAAAGTATCATAATCCAACGTAAATACTAATATATCACTCAAAGGCATTTTTGCAAAGAAGAGCAACAATCACATATCCCCATATATATGTAATGATTCAAAATTGATAAATAACCACCACAAAAAATTGCCAAACATGCAATGCAATGCATCAATAATAATGAATGTGATACAAGAGCAAACTTTTCAAGTTGCTTATTTAGCGTCACAATTACGTAACACAACATAATGGAACTCTTGATGCCGCGCATGCATGGGCCTAGCTTGGCAACAAAAAAAATATTACCAATCAATCCAAAATGAAAATATTGTCATAGCATGTGACATAACTACAATAAGAACTGTATTTGCAAATAATATACATACATTCAACTCATGACGAATGCAGGAAATGATAACATCAATGTGTGCTTGTGCAAAGAAGAGCAAACATATACAAATGAGAAATAATTAATACATAAAGTAATTATAAACATATACATTGAAAACACACAATGGTTGTCAATTAATTTTTTTTGGAAATGAACATTCATGGTTTTCATCATTTGAGAGCATAACAAGCATTTTTAACCAACCAAAAATATGCATTAAGAAAAATCTTACTTTCAAAGAGAAATTTAGAACAATGTTACATCACTCTTGATGGAATATAAGCTGCACTCACATGATGTAAAATACTCAAACAAAGTGTTAGAGTAAGAGTATAAAAGTGAAAGCAACATAATAAAGATTGATCAACATTGGAGATATCAATAATCCCCAGTTTCCCGCGTATGTTGAAAAATTGTTCGATTGCAAGAGGTTTAGTGAAAATATCGGCAAGTTGATATTTACTATCAACATGCTAGAATGCAACATCCCCTTTTTCAACATGATCACGAAGGAAATGGCGGCGTATCTCAATATGTTTAGTCCGAGAATATAGTATCGGATTCTTGGTAAGGTTAATGGCACTAGTGTTATCACACATGATAGGAATACGTGATATTTTTATATCAAAATCAAGCAATTGTTACATAAGCCACAAAATTTAAGCAAAACAAATATCACCGACTATATATTCTGCCTCGGTCATTGACAAAACTATGAAAACTTGCTTTTTATTATGCCAACTAACCAAGAAATTTGAAAACATGTGACAAGTTCCACTAGTATTCTTTCTATCTGATTTGCATATGGAAAAATCAGAATCGGAGTAACCAATCAAACTACAATCGTTTCCCTTGGAATACCAAAGCCCATATTTAGAAGTACCAATGAGGTATTTAAGAATGCACTTAACAAATTTAAAATGTGATTCTTTGGGAGTCAATTGATATTAGGCACACATGGAAACAATAAACATAATATCAGACCTAAATGTCGTTATATATAGAAGAGATATTATAATATCTCTATACTTATTTGCATCTACTTCCTTACCATTTTCATCTTTATCCAAATTTCCATTTGTTGTCATAGGAGTGTCAATTTCCTTTGCATCGTCCATGCTGAATTGTTTTTAGTAATTCGAGACAATACTTAGTTTGACATACAAATGTTCTTTCCTTGAGTTGCTTTATTTAAAGTCCGAGAAAGTAATTTAACTCTCCCATGAGACTCATTTCAAACTCTCCCTGCATAAGCTTAGAGACTCCTTTACAAGTTGCATGTTGGTAGAACCAAATAAACAGAGAACTTACTAACAAAGCAAAAATTGAATCGATACTGCCTCACCATACAATATGACGGAGGATGCACTTGTATTTCATGATGAACTCTTAAAAGAAAGTTGAACCAAATACAAAGTATGTCACAAAGACTTTAGAAAACCACGACCTCACCACTTTTAACTTTGACAAAGTATCCAAGAATATAATTTGTGATGAATCCAAGAAAGTCATTGATTTGATGATCATTCATTTTGATTGAAATTTCATCTTTATCCTTTTCATGATAGTTATCTTTCTCCTCCTCTTGTTTCACTGATTCGGGTTGATAAATTCCTTCTTCGGTGTCATTGAGCATGTCTCTTGGATACACCTACATCATGAAATGAAATACTTTTCCGAGTATTCTCATATACAACATTAAAAGTAATTTATGCATATTTTACCAATTAAAGAATACTTATTGTTGCTTTCTAGGTCACATAATTCATCTTCTTGCCACATATACAATAGGATTATAATATGTTACCCATT